CCATGAGAAACGGCCTAGAACCTGAGAAATGGGATTCATTCCTTGTCCCTAGGTTTCCACATTGATAAGACTGTCATCGGTGCTGTTCTCTTCAATGCGAACGCTACCTCTGCTAAACAGCTAGAAACCTGCGCCGAGTGGTCACCAGTACGTGGGCGTACCGCGCTCTCTCAACGAATGCTGGTTTTACTATTTGTTAGGCTGACTGTTTCACGGACTCTGTCACAGATTTCAGTGCACTTCATGCTGAAAACGATTCCTCAATCCCTCCTGCCCACACTTATTAAATACACATAGATGCACATTAAAAGCAGTGGTTGCGTCGATTGTGCAGAATCAACTTGCTAACGTCTTCGGTGAAGGGGCACTGGAAGCCGGTTCGACCATGCTTGGAGGGAGGGGTGGTGGGACCGCCTACCAACGACCATCCGATCAAAACACCCCAGTCAGGATTCAGCCCTCCAAATAACACATCAAGCCTCGATGAGTAGAAAAAAGGACATTTTTAAAATTATTGGAATATTTTGTGAACACTTAACGGCACTTTTTTCCTCTGAATAACTTTGCACTGACATAGGTGACCTTCAGGACTCTTCTTGGAGATGTTGCCTTTGTGAAGTCAGCAGAGAAGTTGGCGATGAATCTCACAACAGAGGAATATACCAAATGGGTGGTCGAACGAATGAGGGACAGCGCCCAGCCATCTACGTACTACGGCGGCATAGCCCAGTCACAGGTAACACTTCGAGCTTGTAGTAGTTAGTGAACGGTAGGAATCAAGCATCGCGACGTGGCCTTCATATCTACCGTAGTCAATGCTTCCTGACAGCAAAGTTAATTGTCAATTGTTACTAGTACTCCTTCAGCGTCTCTCTCATTTTCTTGTATCCCGAAACTTATTACAACACCACGGCTGCCTGTTTCCTTTGCGCCCTTCACTAAGCTCCGTTATACGTAACAACGACTGGTCGCGTTCATACTTCTCGATTTGGAAGATTAGGATAGCACGCGGCAATGAAAAAGGTATGTATTGACGGGGGA